CCTTTCCTTTCCTTTCCTTTCCTTTCCTTTCCTTTCTCTTTTCTCTTCACTTTTCTCTTTTCTTTTCTCTTTTTCTTTGTTCGTCTTCTGCAGGAGGGCGTCATTTTAACTCTGTTTTATAACAGCCCCAAGAAGGCTGAGAAAAGGGGCCAGAGTGAACCCTGTGCACCTGTGACCCTGTGTGTGCACAGATGGTGTGCGCAAGTCTCCCATCCATTGTGCGTCTCTTGTGTGAAACAGTCTGGCCCCCCTGACTGGGTTAGTACTGCTTGCAAACGTAACAGCCACGTATGAACACAGACACCATCCTTACTGTGCTCGTGCTGGGCAGGGACAGGGGTCTAACAAGGAATGGGCTGCCCACCCTTTGCCCGAGGGCTGCAGTGGGCTCGTCCTCGATGCTGGGCCTCTAGAGCTCACCACCTGTGCGTCCTCTGCTGGGGTCAAGGCACAGGGAAGCTTTTCTTCCCTGTGTGGTGATGTTGCGCAAGACTGCTTATCTGTGGTCAGGTCCAAGTGTGTCCATCCATCCATCCACCCATGCAGGCATGTATCCAGCCAGCCAGCCAGCCAGCCATGTATCCATCCATCCATCCATCCATCCATCCATCCATTCGTCTGGGTCTGCAGTGTTTCTGTGTCTTCCTGGCCAAGTCATTCTTGGGTTCCCTCATGCCGTTGCGCACCTGATCCTCGAGGCAGCCCCTCCCGGTGTCTGTGAAGTGAGGCCCTGCAATGTGGCCGAGCTGTTCTTGTGATATTTCAGAGCTCAGGGCTGCGGCTTGTGGCCTCACTCAGCTTCGCCAGGGTGGCCCCCTTGGCCACGTTTTTCTGACCATTGGCAGCTTCCTTTCTCTGTCCGTGCAGGTGGAAGGTCACGTTTCCTTGGGCTGCTGCAACAGTCCTGGTGAAGCCTCCTGTCCTCTGCTGGGTCCCGAGGGATGCACACCGGCCCCATGCTCTTAGCACACAGGCACCTCGGCCGTTTGAGACAATCCTGTGCCCAGAACTCAGTTCCCAAGACACAGCCTGCAGCCGCCGTGTAGACATTCCCTGCTTGCCAGACACATAGACCCAGGGTCCCTCCTGGACCAGTGACTCCCAGCCTTCCTCGTCCCTGGGTTCTTTGGGTGCTGGTGCATGTCAGGGCCCTGTAGGCTGTTTCTGCAAGGCTGGGGGATCTCCGTGCGGCCCCTCTGTTCATGCTGTCCACATTCCTTTCTCTGGGCACATTCTCAGACTCTCCGCTCAGCTCTCAGACCTCCGGCCACAGACAAGGTCCGTCCCACCTCCTGCATCCAGTGGCTTCTCCATTGTCCCTGACATGCTGCATTCTCCCGGTGACAGGAGACAAGGCATGCATTTCGCAGGGGACCGACAGCAGATGGGGGGGCACATTCCTCAGGAGCAGCTTCCTTGGGGATGTGGGCCGTCGCATTCTCGGTTAGGATGATGGAGCCCTGTGGCCTCTGCACCTGTCTCTGAAGTGCGTTTCATCTCAGAGGTTTGGGGTGGGGGGACGTTTTTCCTAAGAAGCTCATGGCTGGGTTTTCCCAGAAAGGACCTGGTGACTGTACAGCATGCAGGAAGGACGATGTCTCATGCACAATGTTGGGGACATCGGCGCTGCTCTTTATGGGCAGATGGCAACGTCACCGTAATTACGTCCATGTTAATTTGTTATGTACGTATTAAGCTTTGTGATTCTGTGTCTGCATGGGATGGATTCTGTGTTTATATATATCCTATTTATATCTGTTTATGTCTATAGTCTATTGCATATTCTACCTGCCTATCAATTCCCTATCTATTATGTATGTATTATTTGTCTCTCAGTGTAATCATCCATCTGTCACCCACCCATCCATCCTTCCATTCATCCCTCCCTTGCATCCATTCATCCATCCATCTGTCTATCCATCCATCCATCTATCCGTCCATCCATCCATCCATCCATCCATCCATCCATCCATCCAACCACCCACCCACCCATTCAACCATCCATTCATCCGTGCATCCATGATGCATCCATCCATCCTCTATATTCATCCCTCCATTCATCCACCCATCCATTCATCCATCAACTGTCCATTTGTCTATCCATCTATCCATCCATCCATCCATCCATTCCCTATATTCATCCCTCCATCCATGCATCCCTCCCCTCCATGTATCCACGTATCCATCCAGCCAGCCAGCCAGCCAGCCAGCCAGCCATCACCCACCCATCCATCCTTCCATTCATCCCTCCCCTGCATCCATTTATACATCCATCCATCCATCCGTCCATCCGTCCATCCATCCATCCAGCCAGCCAGCCCTATATTCATCCTCCATCCATCCATCCCCTCCCTCCCTCCATCCATCCCTCCATCCATCATTCCCCTATATTCATCCCTCCATCCATCCATCCATCCATCCATCCATCCATCCATCTATGCGTCCATCCATCCATCCATCCAGTCAGCCAAGCAGCCAGCCCTATATTCATCCCTCCATCCATCCCTTCCCTCC